TGGCCTTCTTCTACTACCGACCTCATGAGTTGTACCACTGCCCCTCAGTTGAGTTCGACGTCCTCGACCGATGACCCTAAGTTTGCAATGGCATCGGCCTCACTATTTTGATCCCGAGGTACATGTTGCAAAGTCCATTCTTTAAACCGATGTAACATTACATGTAACTTATCTAGGTACTTTGCATTCATTCTTCTCTGACTTCGAACGTTCTGTTAACTTGATTCAACACAAGGAGGGAGTCACGCTTAGCTTCGATTACCTCCGCCCCCAAGCTTTTGGCCAGTTCAAGACCTGCAATCATGGCCTCATATTCGGCCTCATTGTTAGTCAATTTCACAGTTCTAATAGATTGTCTAACTATGTTACCTGTGGGTGGCTTCAATACGATTCCAAGTCCGGACCCCTTTGCGTTCGATGCACCGTCCATAAAGAGGGTCCAGATTCCCGAAGACGTCCCCGAGTTCACCAACAACTCTCTTTCGACCTTGGGTATTAGGGTCGGCATAAAGTCAGCCACAAAATCTGCCAAAATTTGAGATTTAATGGTTGTCCGGATTCGATATTCAATATCGTACCCGCTGATTTCTACGACCCATTTGGCCAATCTTCCGGAGAGTTCAGGTTTATTCATTATATTTCACAGTGGGTAAGTTGTCACAACACATATAGGGTGACATTGCAAGTACGATTTCAGTTTCCTAGAGGCGCTTAGTAAAGTGAACGCCAATTTTTCTAGGTGGGGATATCTAGTTTCGGCCCCATCCAAGGTCCGGCTAACATAATAAATCAGATATTGCATACCTTGTTCTTCTCGAACTAGGACTCCACTTACCGATATCTCCAATACTGCCAAATACAAGTATAGTTGTTCGTCTGCCCTCGGTGTGTGAAGCAGTGGCGGGCTCGATAAATATCTCTTAAGTTCTTCCAATGCCTGTTGGCATTTCGGGGTCCATGTGAAGTTGTTTTTCTTCTTCAGTAACGAGAAAAATTGATGAATCTTATCGGAGGACCTCGAGATGAATCACCCCAGGGCGGTTATGCGCCCGGTTAGCCTTTGTGCGGCCTTCACGTTGTCCACTACCGTAATATCCCTGATAGGTTTGATCTTGTCGGGGTTGATCTCGATTCCTCGGTTGGATACCATGAATCTGAGAAATTTACCTGATCCAACTCCGAACGATTATTTTTCCGAATGCTTTAAATGGTCCTCTGCTAGCAAGGACTTAACTAACGTATCGTCAATGTAAACTTCCATAGATTTCCCTATTTGTTCTTCGAACATCTGATTTACTAGGCGATGGTAAATGGCACCAGCATTTTTTAATCCAAATGGCATTACGTTATAGCACTATGTGCCATACTTAGTGATGAAGGAGGTTTTTTCTGATCATCCTGGTTCATTCATATTTGGTTGTACCTGGAGTAGGCATCTAGAAAACTGAGGATCTCGTGGCCGGTCATGGCATTGATCATGCGATCGATGTTAGGCAAAGGGAAAGAGTCCTTGGTCCATGCCTTCTTTAAGTCCTTGTAATATACACACATTCTCACTTTGTTCCCTTTTTTAGGGACTACTACTACGTTTGCTAGTCATTCCGGGTATTTGACTTCCCATATGGACCTTATTTTAAGGAGTTTAGTTACCTCGTCCTTGATGAAGACATGCTTGATCTCGGACTCGAGTCTCCTCTTCTGCTTCACCAGATGGAATTTCGGGTCCAGGCTCAATTTATGAGTGGTGATCTCCGGTGGGATCCCTGTCATGCCGAGATGGGATCAAGCAAAACAATCCATGTTAGCTATAAGAAATTGAATGAGCTTTTTCCTAAGCTCGGGAGTTAACCCCGTGCCTAGGTATACCTTTTGATCGGGCAGTTGTTCGATTAGTATGACTTGCTCCAGCTCTTCGACCGTTGATTTGGTAGCGTTGGAATCATCAGGGACTATGAAGGATCAGGGAACCCCATAATCATCGTCTTCGTCAGTCCCCTGCTTGTCCAGTTGGGTCGAGGTCGGCATCGGTGATTGCTATTTGGCTTCCTGTTTTGCTTTCGAGTCTGACTCCTCTGTCGATGAGAGTGTTGATATTGGAATTACTTCATCGACGGCAAACATTTCCTTCGCGACGGGCTGCTCCCCGTAGATCGTTTTAATCCCCTCTGGTATTGGAAATTTTAACACCTGGTGAAGGGTCGAGGGCATAGCCCTCATGTTGTGAATTCACGGCCTCCCGAACAGGGCGTTATATCTCATGTCCCCTTTGATCACATAAAACGTGGTCCCCTGGATGGTTCCGACTGCGTTCACCGGTAACATTGTTTCTCCCTTAGTAGTTTCACAAGCCATGTTGAACCCGTTTAGTACTCGGGCCGCAGGCACGATTTGGTCCTGTAGGCCGAGTTATTCTACGACCCTCGATCGAATGATGTTGGCTGAACTACCTGGATTAATTAACACACGTTTAACTTGAGTTTTATTCTTGAGTACAGATATTACCAGTGCATCATTATGGGGCTGCATGATTCCTTCTGCATCCTCGTTATTGAAAGATAGAGTTTCTTCTGGTATGTAATCTCGAGTCCATTTCTTCCTCATGATTGATACTTTGGTGCGCTTTAACATCGGACCTTGGGGAACATAAACCCCTCCGATGATCATATGAATGACATGTTGAGGTTCTTATTGTTTGTTTTGTTTATTGGAATCCTTATTTCTAAAATGATTCTTGGCTCGGTCACTTAGAAACTTCTGAAGGTGCCCGTTATTGAATAACCGGGCTACTTCTTCTCTCAATTGTTGACAATCTTCTGTTCTGTGGCCATGGGTGCCATGATATTTACACATTTGGTTGGGATCTCTTTGGGATGGATCAATTTGTAAAGATCGAGGCCATTTGGAAATTTTGATGCATCCGATAGCCGATACGATGGCGGCTGCATCAACATTAAAGTTGTATTCTGATAATCCTAGTGCTTCTTTAGATCCGATAGGCCTGTCAAAGTCGTTCTTGCTCATGAGTCCTCGAGAGCTCTGGCCTCGATCACTTCTCCTTTCACTTCGTACATGATTTCTAGATCAGCTGCTCCTATGATCTCCATTGTATGGCTGGTACCGATCTCTGTTCAACCTCGATTCTCTGTCAATGTCACTCTTGATTCTATTAACTGGTCTGATAGGATAAACGGGCCCGGAAGGAGCCCCAAGTTGGTCGTCTTCGACCCTGATCTTCGATTGATATCGATTATGCACGTCGACCTAAGTAACAGTTGTGTATTCTATCAAATTTTGCTTTAACTGTTGCGAAGCCACTGAGCTTTGAATATTGAGTCCTTGGGTGAAAGCTTGAACGACCCAATCATCGGCGACCGGTGGCAGGTCCATTTGTTCCATTTGGAATCGAGACACGAATTCTCTAAGCATTTCGTTGTCCTTCTTCCTTACCTTGAAAAGGTTCGAATTCCTACTTTTAACCTTGATGGCCCCAGCATATGCCTTTACAAAAGAATCTGGAAGCATAGCAAATGAGTCAATAGAATTAGGTGATAAATTGTGGTACCATATCATAGCTCCCTTCGACAGGGTTTCTCCGAATTTCTTTAGCAAGACAGATTCGATCTCGTCATCTTCTAGATCGTTCCCTTTGGTAGCACATGCGTAAGAGGTGACATGCTCATTTGGGTCGGTCGTTCCATTGTATTTAGGAATCTCGGGCATGCGGAACTTCTTGGGAATCAGTTTGGGAGCTGCGCTCGGGGGGTAAGGTTTTTGCAGGAACTTTTTGGAATCCAAACCCTTCAATATTGGCGGTGCCCTCGGAATTTGATCAACCCTGGAGTTGTAAGTTTCCACTTCTTGTCGTTTGCCTCGATCTTCTTTTCCCCCGACTCAATTCATTTTGTCAGTTCTTCGAGCATCTTCATGATTGCAGGATCGGCCCCCGATTCATTCTCGCTATATTTCCTTGAAGCCGATTCAACCCTGTGGACAACTTCCTGGGACGGTTCGGGCTCAATCCTGCTCGGTGGGTGATTTTGGTTTTGGAGCTGGGCTATTGCTGCCTGTTGAGCCTGCAACATTTAGAAGATCACCTGCGGGCTGATCCCGCCCTCTTCGCCGCCATGTGTGCTTTGAGCGACTGATCGAACATCCCTATGGACGTTGCCCTCGGGATCGACGACCAAATTTGCGTTGATGGCTACATGCAAGCTGACGTCGATTGGATCTACAGCCGGAACTCAATCGGGGCCAACCGAAGGTACGTCGCTCCCTGACGCTATGTTATCATTTTCGTCGTGATGACCGAAATCATTATCCACGTGTAGGGGTGCTGACTTGAGAGTTTGACATTTTGGTCCTGGAATCAAAGATACTCCAAAGAACAAGTGTAAAATAGTACTCCCTCGGTTCCAGTTTATGTGAACCTATTTCTTTTTTGGTTTTGGAACCAAAGAACAAGTGTAAAATAGTACTCCCTCGGTTCCAGTTTATTTGAACCTATTTCTTTTTTGGTTAGTTCCAAAACGAATGACTCCTTTCTAAATTTGGTAATAATTTATCTTAAACTTACAATTGTACCCTTAATGAGAAACTTTTATAATCACACAAATACTCAAGGCACCTTTTTGACTTGTTTAGGGCCACAAATTCTAAAAGTCTTCATTTTTTCTTAAACTCCGTGTCCAGTCAAACATGTTCACATAAATTGGAACGAAGGGAGTATGTGTTATGGAAGTTTGTACCAGATAATCACTATTATCCTTAGCCCTACTGTGGGCACCAAACTGTTTACCCAAACAATCGCATAACAATTGAATTTATGCGCATTTTTAAGGATACGTGATACAACTTGATACAAATTAAGAAAACAGATTGGTACTGAAATTGACGATAAAAGAATAAATGCAAACCACTCGAATTAAACAGCCTTGACCTTCGAGTTCAATCACCCTCGAACTAAGAAATGATTCAACTGATGTATGAACAGAATAACAAGATGATAACAATTAGAAATGACAGTATATTGCTTTGTGCTGTGTATTGCAATATGCGTTACAAATGATCAGACCCCCTTTATATAGTAGGGGAGTCCTACTCTTGATACAATTCTATACAAGGTAAAAATCTCATGATTTGCTAATTAATCGACCTCTCCTTGATAAGTGCTAGGATTTCCGCCGTGATCTCCAACCGATCACGGATATTTCGGCCTTCTGTTATTTGTTTCGGCAAATTTTCCTCAAATCTTGTTCAGTCCCGAGCTCAATAATGTAACTTCGCACCTCGGTTCGATATAACTCAAGATCAAGCTTTAACCTGTCATGTTTCAGTCTCGATTGGTCACACAAGAGACGAACCCGGTCGACTCGAGATCGAGCTTTAATACAATATACATACATAGACCCCATACATAGACAAATGCAATATGCATACACCCCTGACTCAATTCCATATATATACACACACCCTGAAACATCATTTGATTGCCCTTCTCCGCCCCAGTATATTCCTCAATCCACGGTATCGCAGAGAAGTTCACATAGAAAACTGAAATAATCTTAAGTGACGTTAATAGTTGAGAGCTCCACACTAAGCAATATAAGCAAGTAGGTACACTGAAGAAGAGCCTGAAGTGTGCGTATGTAAATGATGCTAAAACACATCCGCTTTTCTTCGTTTCTCTTTTGTACACAGATAGTTGTAGAAAAACATACAAATTTAAACTGAAAGAAATTATAAAAGCATTATACTACGTTTGTAATATGTTGCTAGTTAGAGCTAACTAAATACCAAATAATTGTCATATATAGAATGTCGCATAAATTAATGCGATCTCAGTGGACAAATGGAAGAGAAAAAAGAAGAAACTCGTCTAATGAATAGGGGTTTCTTTGTCTTCCTTTTTGTTTTGAATGTGTGAGTAGGGAAAACTGAAGGGGGTTGTAAGGTACTGAAGAAAGTGATAGAAAAGACAGAAATACAGAGAGATAATTGGGCAAGACATAGGTTGTAACTTTCATGATTGTCATTATGTGTATGTTTTCGATGCTTTATTGGAATATGTACAAATTAATTGTTGAGAACATACATACGCATACATACAACACAAAATAAAACACACACAACAGATCCACAAAGTGCTCAGCCATGAGCTTCCCTTCTTGTAGCACGTGAATGTATCAGGCCCCCAAATGGCCCTTGCAACACTCACAACAAACTCCTCAAGATAACTAAAGAATCAAAACCCCAATTTAGAATAAATATGTTTTTACAAATATATATATATATACACTTAAATCTTTCTTCATGACATTATTACTTCCAAATGTATGTTACTTACCATTTTATATGTTCAGATGCAATTTAACTATATATCTTAATGGGTACGTAGTTATCATTTCAATTAAGCAACAAGAAGATTGACAAAAGAAACTATATATACAACACGGAGAAAATCCAAAGAAAATACGGAAAAGGAAAACATAAAGCAAATTAAGAAACCCTAGACAATCGACGCATAAAATGCAAGCTCAAATAGTACCTGTTGGAATTAAGATGTCAAGTTAAGTACCCTTTCCGATGCTTCACCTTCAATATCTTACCCACAAAAAAACAGCTCTTTCTCAACAAAAAAAGAAAGATAAACAAAACAGATATTAGAATTAGGTAGTTAGATTACCATATATATCCGGGATATGCTTGGCTCCTCATACGCCATTCACGGGGACCCAACGGTATTCCGATGAGCTCTGCAAATGGCATACAGGGAGCCAGGCATATGCATATTATGTGAATGTAACCTACATATAAGATAGAAATTACGTTTAAACTTCTTACATATAACTGGTAACTTTTAAAACAGCCCGAATAATTATCTAAGTAAAAGAAAGAAAGCATGGTTGAACTGAAAAATTATCTGCCCGTGATCATTGTCAACAAGAATCAAGAAAATATGAAGAAATATCCAAAGAATTTTAGCTAAGAAGTAAGAAAAAGGAAATGGAGATTTGAGATTGAAAGAAGAGGCAAGCTAAGATGGTTTATATTTTAAGAGAAAAAAAGAGAGATTTGGGTGATCAAACTGAAGTCCTAATCAACTGGATCTTTTAGCCCCACCGAAAAAACATATTTACACGACCATAAGACCAAAAGCTATAGCTGTTTCTTCTACTCTCTTTCTGTTTTCATACATTAATTCATTCAAGTAGAAGGATAGACAAAGGTAGGAGTGATGAAAACAAGCTGTTTAGCACAAAGCAGCAAAATAATCAAAACAGAAAAAGAAGGGCTGTGAAGAAATCAAGAAAGAAGTNCGTTAGGGGGGTGGGAAGAAATGGGGATTGGGGGTCATGTTGCTAACCACGCAATTTCCTAAGCTTCAAATCTTTACTCTTTACTCTCTCACTTGCTTTTTTCTGGGTCGTAAAAGCCACGGTTGCTTTTCTCCTCTGTCTGAAGCTCCTTTGTCTTCAAGTGTTTGGACGACATGGATTCCTCTCCACTTCCCTTTCTTTCTCTTCCTTTCCTTCAATAAACTAAAAAGTGAAAAACCCTTTAGAGAAATATTGGAAACAAAGCCATTACCCCCATAATAATAATAATAATAATAATAATAATAATAATAATAATAATAGTTTTATCTTCTTTTTCCCTTCTCATTCTCCCCCTACTCCTACCACTTCTTCTTTATCTTTCTGTCCCTTTGTGTATTCTATACTCTATATTACAACTAATCTTATCATTTATAATATAGTTTTTACCTTTTGGAATATCCTCAGTTTCGTCCTAATAATACCCTTTATACAACTACTTAATCTGTATTTCCCTTCTGTTTAGGAGAGGACAGTACCTAGCTAGGGTGTGACTTCCTAATAATATAATACTAACAATTTTGTAAAACTATGATTTGGCATGACATATAGTGTTAATACTAGTAATTATTTATTATTTTACTTACTACTAGTATATATTGTTGTTGTTTCCATTCAACTAGTGGTAATTAATATGGTTGAGCCTTGTTATGGTTCTTGTTGTTAGAGCGAAGTGACATTCCCTCAAATTATTGTGCATGGCAAGTGATAAAGAGATTGCAGTCATACTCCGTACATCCTTATTTGAACTTCCTTTGATGAATGGTCAATCTCTTATAAGAATCTTTTGCTGTCTACACAAGTTCACCAAAATAAAACTCTAGGGTTGACATCAATAAAACAAGCTAGTAGGTGTATGTACATGTGATTCACTTTTTGTCTACACTGTGTTAGACCTTTGTGTTATATAGACAATAATACACATAAAAAATATAGAGCTTAAATTAATTATTTTGCAAAAATATAATGTTCTTTCCGGCAGGGATGGCAGTGGCACAGGTGCGAAACGGGTTGAAGCTTAACCAGCAAAACTTTTTACATGCTTCATTCCGCCCCGCCCCGCATAGTAACTCTGTCAGTTTTTAACTCGCGCCACCTCGACTCGCATCAACCCGCCCCACCCCGACCTGTATAACTTTTTGTTTCCTTTTCTTTTTCCATCTTGTTATTTAGTAGTGTGAGTTGTTATTGTTTTATATAAATCTTAACAAATCTTTTATCATGAACTACCTTTTAAGATTGGGCTAGATTCGGTATTTTATTTTTTTTACGGATGTTTACCCTCAAAATCGGATAACAATTAAATTTGTAAGTGGTTTTAAGGATACGCGGATTAACTTGATACAAAGCGATAAATTAAGTTACTATTGAACAAACAAAGATAAAATAAATTCAAACCACACGAATTGGATAGTTTCAGCCTTAGTGAAATAGTCACTCTCGAGTCAGGCTCACCACAACCGGTACAGATGAAAAAGAGCAAGAGACAGAGAAAATAATAATATATTACTTTTGAATGCCTATTGCAATGTCCTTCATGAATTATCGCACCCCCTTTATATAGTAAAGGAGTCCTACTTTAGGTATAATTCTATAAAAGGTAAAAAATCTTCTGATTTATTGATTGCTGGTTCCTTATCGATACGTGCCGAGATCCTCGCCGTAATATTCGGCCGATCACGGATATTTCGATTTTCTGTTGGCTATGTTGGATTATCTGACAATGTTCTTCGAAGTCGTTCGAGGCTAGGACCGATTCCGGGACCATGCTCTCGATATTCTCGAGGGCAGGCGTCATGCCCCCGGGTTCTGGCAGGTGGGACTTTGGCTCGATTTCGGTCCCTTGCCGCTATGTCTCGAGCCTGGCTCATCTTGTCGGAGGCCGGGATGCACCATGAGCTCGATTTCACCCGTATACAGATAGTTCCCTCATTTTTCGGAGAGTAAATGACGAGAAACAACATGAGCTTTTGATTCTTACTTTGATACATCATGACAGAAATAACAAAACATCTGAAACGTCTCGTCAGTCAAGTCATAATGGCATTAAATACGTGTTAGTCGCCGGTCGGCCATCCTTGGGCGTGAAATGCCGCTGAACTACTATAAATACCTCCTCCTTTATTCATTTTTACTTTACATCAAACCTTCTACCCTCGTACCTTCAGGATTTCAATACTCTTTAGCACTTTTACCCCAGTTATTCGAGATCCTTTGCAAGAATTTTTACTCATTTTTTTCTCAAGCCAACAAGTCTAATCCTTCAACTTCCTTTCTTTCTTTATTTTTCTCAGATTTTCCTCCATCTTCATTTTCTAAAGAAATGGCAAAGACTTCCAAAATTGTTCCCCAGAAAGAAGCTCATTCTACTTCGCGGCCAGCTACTGAGGACGAGGAGACCGCTCCACGTGCGACCGTCGATGAACCAGTACCCGAACCCTCTTTGAAAATGTTCATCCCCGAGGGATGCTCGGTCAACGTCGATTTCAAGGTTTAAAAGCCTTCCTTCATATAGGGTCGGTGTGAGGATGTCTCGAGATACATCTGCTCGATTACTGAAGAAGCCCTCCCTACAGTCCGAAAAGACTGCAACTGGGCTGATAAAGACATATTGGTCCCCGACCCCGAAGAGGCCATTACCACCTATGTCGAGGGATACCTAAGTGTTTACACTTATCCTTTTACATTGGGCCCTGTAGACCCGGTCATTTTAGATTTCTACAGGAAGTACAACGTGTGCCTAGGCCAGATTCATCCATCACTCTGGAGGATCGTGATCCTCCTCTGATTGTTTTGAACAAAATCGATGGGTGCTCGTTCACCATTGATCATCTACTCTGCTTATACAGTCCCCGAATCTTCCGGGGGGTTGATAAAGCTTGTGCGTCGGGCCAGTAAAGCCCTGTTCTCAAGCATCGATGAGGATCGGGATCGAGGCTGGCAAGGCCGTTTTGTCCGAGTGAGGACTTCAAACTTGATTCTGGTTGAATGCAAACCGTTCCCCGAGAAGTGGAATACGTCACGTAAGTAGAACTTACCTTCGAATGTTGATTTTATACTTACTTCTCTTTTCCTCACCAGTGTTCGTGATGGTGCAGCCGTTGCTCGGGTCCCAAATGTTATCCCTCGATTCAAGGAGTGGGTCGAGGGTATCATTTCACAGATGCCCTACTCCGAGCGCTCGTGGCTCAAACTCTCGAAGAGTCGCTGGGAGGCACGTTCCCATGGTGAGACTTCTTTCCCGAGTAGGTTGTGTTAGGATTTTCTTTTACCATTAAGCCATTACTCCCTTTACTTATTTTTGCAGGCTTATCTAAGGATGTCGAGCTTAGGCCTCCAGTCAGTGGCGAGGAGTTACCTGCCGAGTCCCCTGCTCCGAGACTGGCCGAAGAGAGGAAAAGCAAGAGGGTTTCAAGTTCCTCGAGCTCGGAGAAAAAGAAAACAAGGAGAAGGCTGGTGCGCTAGCTAAAGGAAAATACCAGCTCCCGAACACCAGCTTACGATTTTCTCTATCGCTTGAGGGACGAGTCCGATGGAGAAAAACCTTTCATTCTGGTGGCCCGCGAGCCGTCGTAGCTCGAAGAGCAAGGGGCCTCTGAACCAAAGATTCGTGAGGCCGATCTGCCTCAAGCCATGGATGTCGATGAGGAGACTGGGACCGAGGCTTCCCAGGATGCATGCAGTGCCCCGAAGAAGACACTCAGTGTGATAGACATCACCGAGTCACCCTCGTTTACCAAGTTCATGTTTAATGAGGCCCAAACGGTGAAAGAGCGCCCCAGTAAGGGGGCCCACGGAGCCGACGACCCCCTCCACTGCTTTATTGATGGCGTGGATCTCACCGCCATGGAGGACGTCACTAGATTAGGTGACTTAGAGGTACATAGGAAAAGTCCATCATCGGGGGCAGGCGGGCCTAACTCGAGCCCGAAATGGATCAATCAGTTCCCTGTCCTGAGTGCGGATCCTGGTCGGAAGCGGCCCATTATTATCACCGTTCCAGAGGATGCTCGGGTTCTTTTCATCCCCGTAGCGGTGGCCAGTTACCTCCGGTGCCTGATGACCAAAGAAGACCAGGCCAAAATGAATGAGGTAGGCACGCCCTGCTTGTTCAACGAAGCACAACAGGCTCTGAACCGGGTAACTCCAGATAATTCCTGACGATTTCAATTTTTCCCTTGATACTTGAACTAATTTGTTGACAATTTTAATATCTTTATTCGTATTTGTAGGCCTCGGTGCTTCACTACGAAACTTTCCTCCGATATCGGGATAAGCTGAACCAACTCAAAGCCGAAGTCAAAGAGCTTGCTGAGAAGAGAGACACGTACAAACTTCTCAGCGAGCAACGTGAAGGAGAGGCTAAGAGCCTTTGAGCTGAGTTGGAAGTGGTTCGGAAAGAACATGCCAACCTGGTTGAATAGGTAAAAATCTTTAAAGTTAGTGACAATTAGCTAGACACGGTGACTAATGGTCAAAACTCGCAGGTCTAATAGAAGATTGATCGGATCTACCAACTCCGAGCTGAGATAGATGTAATCAAGGTCGAGACCGAAGAGTGGAGAGGCAAGATTGATCACCTGGCCTTGGAAAAGGAGACTGCCCGGGCGCAATTGACCTCGCCGGAGGCCCAACTTCGAGCGACGAGGGAAAAGGCTGAGGCACGGTCCCAGAAAATTGAGAAGCTCCGGTCTTAGCTAAGCTCGGTTGTTGCCGATCGAGAGACCTTTGCCAATGAGCTTAAAGTGGCCAAGTCGGTGGTTGAAGTAACCAAGCCGATACCAATGAGATGGTGGCCCAGTATAAAGCCGATGTCGAGGCAGCCCAGGATCGCCTGAAAGACATCGTCGAATACATGAAATTGTAGTCCCGAAGGGAGGCCCTCGAGGAAGTTCACGCTCGGGGTTTTGATTTGTCGGTCGAGGTTGAAAATGCTAAGGGGATCGAGGTCGAGGCCAAGAAGTTGGCGTATCCCGAGGACGAAAAAGCCTTTGAGGGTTCGGGCGGATTCGGGGGCGGAGAAGACTCCGATGGTCCCGGTGATGAGGCAGAATTCGGCGAAGACCCAGCCGTTTAAGTGCCTTGTAAATTTTTCTTTTATTTTGCACCTTTGTACTTTTTGTTGACGCCGTTTGGCCTTTGTAAAGATATTCTTATATACATATATATAAGGCTTTTTTCCCTTCGATAGATTTTTAAGCTTGTTTCCTTTCTCTCTTTTCTTTATGATTGTAAAGATATCGAATACCTTAGCAGGTAATAATTAGGTCTTGTTCGAAGGTTGGAACATGCCTTGATCTTGATATTATTTTGCTTAAGACTTGTGGGGGGCTCGGTATAACTGGAAGCTTTCCCCAAAGTACTTAGAATATTTTAGATTACAATTTGTCGAGGGTAGCCTTTTGAACCGGTTTAGAAATTTTGAAGGCCTTATTTTTTGGTTACGGGTCTCGGACGTCTCTGAGCCATTCTAAAACGGCTGCAGCCTTTCTAGTTCGGGTGTTGCCTACTGCGATTGTTACCCCAAGTCATCTGGGCTTAACCGAGACAACCGTCCCCGAATGGGGGTGGCCGTAGCCTTTAAAGTTCGGGCACTGGCTAATAAGCTTTGTGCCCCCGGGCTTCGTTATCCCGGGCCATCCGAACCTGCCTTGGGCGGAAGTCCCCGAGTGAGGTGGCCCTTGGGCTCGATGTATTTAGGGGATCAAATATAAGAAATAAAAATTTTCAAGGGACAAAATATTTATCCGCGAGGTAGAAACTTCCTTTCATTTTTGTGCGTAATAAACAAAGTTACACATGTGTTCAAGCTTTGTGTCAGGGCTCGGGAGGTCTATGTGGGCACGGTTCATTTGACTGTTTGGCTCTTATAGTAAATCCTATTGATCGAACCTAGACTATTCGAGCAAAAAGTTTCTTTCCTTACTAAAATCATTACCCGAGGGTGATGCCACCCAGTGTTCGAGGCCGATCATAGAGAAGCCTCGGATACTGTTGATGTGATCCTCGACATCGGTTCACAACCGGTCTTCAATTCTAAGTTAGCATGATCCATTGTTTCCTCGTTAAAAACCTTACCGGAAACCCTATTTGGGACACAATCGGTTCAAGGGAAAAAGAGTGCAACACGTGCTTTCAGGCCTAAACAATTGTATCGTTCTTTGATGGTCACCTACAAATATTAGTCCAAAATGTAAATAAATAAAAGAAATGAATGGGGTCGCATCTTAGAAATAGTATTGTTTCAAGTGAGTGATGTTCCAGTTGTTCGGTATTTGCTCACTGTTCATTGTTCCGAGTTTGTATGATCCTTTTCCAGTGATCTCGATAATTTGATACGGACCCTCCTAGTTTGGCCCAGCTTCCCTTCGTTTGGACTCCAGGTGCTTAATGTGACCTTCCTTAACACTAAGTCTCTGACATTGAAGTGTTGAAGGTTGTCTCTTCGATTGTAATACCTCTTGATCCATTGTTTTTTGGCGGCCAACCGGACGAGGGGGCTTTCGCGCCTTTCATCTAACAGTTCTAGGCACGTACTCATAGTCTCGTTGTTTGATTCTTTCGTCGCATATGAGTTATTTTAAGGATACGCGGATTGACTTGATACAAAGCGATAAATTAAGTTACTATTGAACAAACAAAGATAAAATCAATTCAAACCACACGAGTTGGATAGTTTCAGCCTTAGTGAAATAGTCACTCTCGAGCCGGGTTCACCACGACCGGTACAGATGAAAAAGAGCAAGAGACAGAAAAAATAATAATATATTACTTTTGAGTGCATGTTACAATGTCCTTCATGAATTATGAGACCCTTTTTATATAGAGAGTCCTACTTTAGGTACAATTCTATAAAAGGTAAAAAAATCTTTTGATTTACTAATTGCCGGTTCTTTATCGATACGTGCCAAGATTCTCGTCGTGATATCCGGTCGGTCACGGATATTTCGGCTTTCGGTTGGCTATGCTGGATTGTCTGACAAGGTTCTTCGAAGTCGTTCGAGGCTTGGACCGATTCCGAGACCATGGCCTCGATATTCTCGAGGGCAGGTGTCATGCCCCGGGGTTCTGGCCCGGTGGGACTTATGCTCGATTTCGGTCCCTTGCCACCATGTCTCGAGCCTGGCTCATCTTGTCGGAGGCCGGAATGCACCATGAGCTCGATTTCACCCGTATACAACGGAAAAGAAGAAAAGATATAAGAGAATTTCACATTAAGGTGAAGGAAATTAATGAATCAAAATTTTTAGGCCTTTCAAATTAAACATATTACAGAACTATTCTATTATAACTCTGCTGCATAAAGGTAATTAACAAACCTGTTAGGAATTGTCTATCTCCCAAAAATTTACCTCCTGGTATTAGTTATTTTGCCAAACTATCACGTCTTTTTTTCTCCCTTAAGAGAAGGCCCTTAAATTATAGTACGTCAAATTTTGATTGTTGTAGTAATACATTTTTATTTTCTACGTAATGTAAGTTTACCCCGACGCTCACTAGAAGCGTTTGTAAACTAAAATATGGAAAGAGTTAATTAGATTTTTCTTTTTTTTGGGTCAAATGAAAGAGTTAGACGATTTAATGAAAATATAGAGGCAGCTACTTTTTTATCAACAATTTTGATAGGGTCTCTGTATTTTGGACTCTAGCTGCACATCATGGTGCTCAAGTCCCCTTCCATTTCTTTTCACATGGTTTTCACATTAGCTCAAAAGCAACATTTTCAATCCTTTTTCTTTGGGCGGTTAGAAAGAAAAGGTATTCTTTGCCTTTTGCTTTTGAAATCTTTCCGTCCAAATATTGACGCCTACGATGGCCCTTTAAATCACACAATATTTTAATTTTAAGTTGTAAGATATAAAGCTCGCCATTTTGGTCCCAGACAAAGAATACAAGGAATTAAGGAAACGATCGATAGAGTAGGTATGTTTAAACTGATGAGTGTCATCGACGACTGTTTGTTCCTTTCGAACTAATGAAGCTTAATAAAGTGACAAAAACTTCGATAAAAGAAAAAGACGTGTCCATTTTTTCTTTCCAATTACAGTAACAGAGTAAAATACTTTTGCTTTTATACATAGATTAAGGATGTGTTTGATACCAAGGAAAATATTTTCTAGGAAGTGAGTGATATTTTACTTATTTTTCTATGCTTGACTGGTGAGTGAAAAAAAAATTAAAAATATTTTTCTAGTGTTTAGTTAATGAGTAGAAAATATTTTTTTAAATAATATNGGCCGGGGTTTTGGGGGATAGGGCATGGGGTGGTGGGTGAGAAATGTTAAAAAAGGGTTTTGAAAAATGAGAAAATTAAAAAATAATTTTCTTGAAAATATTCTGTTTCGTACCAAACACACCCTAAATCCACAATTAAATGGTTAATCAGTCTAGGTCATACATAGTTTCTGTACTTTTCTGGGTCAAGTTACGCTATTATTTTTCATGATGGGATATTATATGAATCAGATGTTTTAATTTATGACGTTTCCTAAATTTGTAAGGTGACCAACCATGTTAACGATCCCAATCATGGAGCCATTCCATTTCAATTTTCAATTCTAGTGTGTTAGCATCACGTGTTAAACTTGACATAATATCATCGGAGTTTAAACATAAGTTCAAAAATATGGGAACAGGACACAAATAAGATATCCCAAACAATTAGTAGGTCGCACTAGGAATAACAGATAATTAAGGAAAACGAGGTGAAAGAAAAGAAAGGTTAAAAAAGCGGGTATTATCATTTTTAGTCCGCGTCAAAAATTATTTATATTTGATAGTCGAAAAAGTGTATAAAACTTGTATAATTTTTGTATATAACATATAGAATGTATATATATACAAAAAGTATACAAATTTTATATATTTTTTCTGCTATTATTTTTACAGCGGCTATACAGTATCATTTTAGTTTAAGGATTTAAATTAGAGCACTTATAATGTTATCAGTAAATTTTAATTTGCGAATAGCAATGAATTTTATCTTAATCAGATTATTAATTAATTCTTACAACGAAAAAAATACTGTTTATCTAATAAATAATCAGAGTCATACCATGAAAGTATGGGAAAGGGTGGTTGAAGCGAGAGTGAGGAGGACAGTGTCTATATCCGACAACCAGTTCGGATTCATGTCGGGTCGTTCTACTACGGAAGCTATACACCTTATTAGGAGGTTAGTGGAACGGTACAGGGAGAGGAAGAAGGATCTGCACACGGTGTTTATTGACTTAGAGAAGGCGTACGACAAGGTTCCTAGAAAAGTTCTCTGGAGATGCTTAGAGGCAAAAGACGTGTCGTCTGCCTACATTTGGGCAATTAAAGGCATGTATGATGGGACTAAGACTCGGGTTAGGACTGTAGGAGGCGACTCTGAGCAATTTCCAGTTGTTATGGGTTTACACAAGGTTCTGCGCTCAGCCCGTTCTTATTTTCTCTGGTGATGGACGTGTTAACACACCATATTCAAGGGGAGGTTCCATGGCGTATGTTATTCGCCGATGACATAGTTCCGATTGATGAGTCGCGAATCAGTGTTAACGAGAGGTTGGAGGTGTGGAGACATGCCCTTGAATCTAAGGGTTTCAAGCTGAGCATGACAAAGACGGAATACATGGAGTGTAAGTTCAGCACTGAGCCGAGGGAAGTGGGCATGGAAGTGAGGCTTGAATCATAGGTCATACCAAGTAGTGGCAATTTCAAGTATCTTGGGTCGGTTATTCAGAGGGGAAGGGAGATCGACGAGAATGTCACACACCGTATTGAGGTAGGGTGGATGAAGTGGAGGTTAGCATCTGGAGTCTTGTGTGATAAGAGAGTGCCACCGATACTCAAAGGTAAATTTTACAAAGCGGTGGTTAGACCGGCCATGATGTATGAGGTTGAGTGTTGGCCTGTTAAGAACTCACATATCCAGAAGATGAAAGTAGCAGAAATGAGGATATTGAGGTGGATGTGCAGACACACTAGGATGGATAAGATCAGGAATGAAGATATTCGGGAGAAGGTGGGCGTGGCTCCCATTGATGACAAGATGCGGGAAGCGAGGCTCAGATGGTTCGGACACGTACAAAGGAGAAGCCCAGATGTTCCTATAAGGAGGTGTAAGCGGCTGCCTTTTGAGGGCACGATAAGAGGTAGAGGACGACCTAAGAAGTATTGGGGAGAGGTGATCAGGCAGGACATGGCGATGCTTCAGATTTTCCAGGACATGACTCTTGATAGGAAGGTGTGGAGGTCGAGTATTAGGGTTGTAGGTTAGGAGGCAGTTGAGTCTATCTTACTTCGTACCTTTGTGAGGCTAGTATGGTAGGGTTTTTGCCGATGTCAGCTAGTGACAATGTTGTGTCTTACTACTCTTTTGTTTTTCATAGTGTCACGTCTATGTACTCTATATCATGTTTGCTTTGCATCTACTTTCTCATTTACATGATGTTATTTTTCCTATGGTTTCTATTGGTGATACTGATATTGTCTTTTTTCGTCTTCTTGAACCGAGGGTCTTTCAAAAATAATATCTCTACTCCCTCGAGGTAGGGGTAGGGTCTGCGTACACACTACCCTCCCCAGACCCTACTAGCGGGATTTCACTGGGTCATTATTGTTGTATCTAATAAATAATCTGATTATATAAATATTTTTTTACAATATCGGTACAAAAAACTTAAACTCATCAGTTTGTATATAACTCAATGGACGTTACGATGGGGATACAAAATCTCCAAAGTATATATAGCCAGCATGTGATGACTCTCTTCCGAATATTTAAATTTAATTGACATACATAACAAACAAAGTATAGATTTCCAAGTAGGAAAAGGAGATCATTTTAGAAGGGCCAGAGAAAATGATAATATAGTGCAAACTGTACTAGTTTTTTACAATCCTATCCACCTCTACCTCTGAGACCATATATATGCATGAAAGCTACTTCTAAGTCTCACATCAGTATCAAAGATAAAGATGCACTTTTTATAAAGCTATAATTGTTTTATATTATATTATATATCTATAAAGAGATGGCCAATTTGAATACGCCAGAAACATAATAATGAAACTTCTTGTTTGTCATTATAAGACTCCAGAGTTACCTCTAGGTTTCTATTCAATTGAATTTTGCTCTGTAACAGTTTTGCTACCTATTCCATTGATTGGATAGGAGTACTATATCATAATTTAAACAACTCTCTTCTAACTCTAAATATTAAACTTCCCCTTTTATTTTCTTTCATGAAACCGTATTCAATTACAATATATCACACAATGGCTTCCCTTGTATTGAAATGACATGACATGATAATGCGTAGTTCGCGCTAGGACCTCACTTCCTCGAGAGCAAGATACCGGCCGGTTAAGATGAATTTATGCGCAAATCTATCATAGATTCCGCATAGATTATCCTCTAAGTTAAATTTTGATTGTCGCATTTTTGAGATAATACAGTAATAAAGTAGGTAATTTAAAAAAAAAAAAAGGAATATTCATTTGAAAAACCAAAAAAGTGGTAGCACTAATTAGTGCACTATGTATTATTGCTGCCATTTCTTACGCTCTGTATATCAACTTTAAACTGTAATTAACAATCATTTGGTTTCATTCTGAACTAGTGTCAGCGAAAACTAGTACTCTCTTCAAATGAAATTAAATAAAGCTTGATATGAAAATCAATAAAGGGCAATGACCCTTGTTTTCTTTTTCTTTTTGTAAGCCAGAATGTTAAGGAGAAAACCATATCGACTTCAGAAAATCAAATTGATTTCATCAGTAAAATGTTAACATATATAAATAGTGAAAATGATTATAGTCTGAATATACAGAAAACATCAATTCCTCTAGCAATTATGAATTTCAAACATTAATTATCTTTAACAGCACGTTTCTTTCAATTAAAAGCATTGGTGTACGTCCCATTAGAGGGACCAATAAGATAATTCCATATGCTACAACAGAGCATTCAAAAGAAAGTCAAAGAAGTAAGTGTAATAAGAAAGAGAGATAATGGAACCCAATCAACGCATGCATGCACTCAATATTATTCCAAAATGCAAGTCCAAACTATAAGCAATTGCGAGCACCGGTCAAAAAAGGAGGAATGAAGCTAATGAAAATGATTAACATATAGAGGACAGGAATTTATAACATAGGATGGAATTGTTGCCAACCATAACAAGAATAATTTGTCTTTATCATAGCGAAAGTACTTTTGGGATTGCGTTGACACAATCATGATTGAGTTGAATGGTGGAAAACACTACCAAAGTTTTCCCTTTGATTAAACTTTACGGTGACCCTTTACATACTGATTAGACCATTCTTAAAAATAAAAGTCGTGTCTAACGTTTCTTTTATGAAGTACTAACACGGTAACAAGACAGATCAAAAGTTACTCCCAAGAGTTATTTTCTTACTCTGGATTCAAATGCTGAACTACAAAAAAAGAAAGCTTGTGGCCAAGATGTTGGAATTTGGACTTACATTAATTGGTTATAGTCTTAAAGGATAATGTCATGGTTCAAGTGGTTGATAAATAAAAGGCTTAATATTAAATACTATGTGTGTGGATAAGTGAGGCCCAATAACAATTGACATGTGATGGGTATGTACTCTTTATAAATAGAGGTCAACCCTCATTTCCCTAGCTATTAGAAAACCCTAGCATATTCTGCATCTTGAATGGTCAAGTTCTCCGGGCTGTGAGGGCGCGTAGCTAGTGGATCGTGAAAGTTAGTCGTAGGCTTAATTACCGTTTGTCTTCGTTGCGGAATCCATGAAATTTAACGGTACGCTACCTTAGAATCTAACTCAAGATTATGATTTTATATTTGTATAATTGTGTCTTAATCTTTGTTATGACTGCAATTTAATTATCTTACAGTTGGTATCAGAATCACCATAGTCAGGGATTAAGATCGATTATTATTTTTCTTGAGTTAGAACTGATGAAATTGATCTCGATTGTTGTCATTGACGAATAGATAAAATTAATGCAACAATCTTGTTTTATCTCATGTTTTGGTTTTCCTTAATTATAACTGAAATTAAAAATTATTGAACGATGGATTTGTTGTTTGTTGGGAGAATCACAATGTTCCATTCAAAGATTCTTGATTTATTTGGGAAGAGATTCAATAAAAAAAATAGGTCTCCTTAGTCACCGAACTAGTTCGTTAGGTTGTTGGATTGTTCGGCGGCGGCGGCTCTTTTGTGTTTCCCGCTTGCTATTGGTTCATGTTAGATATATATCGTAGACACTGAAATTTAAGATGACTCTTGAAATATTAGGAGTCTATTAGGGTTACTTGGTAGCTACTCCACCCAAACCCTAATTCATGCCTATAAATAAGGTTACATATGTCCTTCAAAGATGATCTCACCAATCCCATAGTGCACAAAGAGATCACATATACGATCTCGAAATTCCATAAAAATTCATGGAATATTCATTAGAAATCAAAGACATATCAAATATATCTTGCTCAAATTTCTAGCAACATTTAAGATCCAAATAGAGTGTTGCTATATGCTTCGTGATCATCAAATACATTAAGAAAATGCATATTATCCTACGTTCGAGAAATACGCCGCTAAGGCCCTCGAATTACGGATAACAAATCGGAGGAAAGAATCAAGGGATAAACAGAGTTGTAACCTGCAATGTTTATCATTAAAATCTTTTTCTTTATATTTGTTTGTGATTGCAATTTTTTTTTCTGCACAAATTTATTGCAAACAAATTGGCACGCCCAATAGGACCAATTCTGCCCTTCATCTCTTCCTCCTGCATATCAAAAACTTCAAGTTTCAAGATTATCTGTTGTGATGGTCGTCTATCTTCAAGTCTCGTCTTCATGCTTCAGCAAGCCTACACCTCGACAGACCTTGAAGTTGGGGGCATTTGTAGACACTGAAACTTTAACAGATCAAGATAAATCCTAAATTCAAGACGACTCTTGAAATATTAGGAGTCTATTAGGGTTACTTGGTGGCCACTCCACCCAAACCCTAATTCATGCCTATAAATAAGGCTACATATGTCCTTCAAAGATGATCTCACCAATCCCATAGTGCACAAAGAGATCACATATACGATCTTGAAATTCCATAAAAAAATCATGGAATATTCATTAGAAATCAAAGACATGTCAAATATGTCTTGCTCAAAGTTCTAGCAACATTTAAGATCCAAATAGAGTGTTGCTATATGCTTCTTGATCATCAAATACATCAAGGAGATGCATATCATCCTACGTTCGAGAAATACGCCACCAAGGCTCTCGAATTACGGATAACAAATCGGAGGAAAAAATCAAGCGATAAACAGAGTTGTAACCTGCAATGTTTATCAATAAAATCNATATATATATGAATCAGTTTATGCCCTTCTTGTTTAGTTTATTTTAATAAATAAATAAGTGTAACCCACACACAACTTGGAAATTAAGTGGTGTGGTATTGTTATGAAACTAGTTTTATAAGAAAACAGTGAACTTTTTTTGTTCAAAAAGGGCTTAAAGACGTACGCTGCAACTTGGTTTGGCATTAAAGGTTCTTATCAAAATTTGTCTTGTTGGTGTAATGACTAACTTAACTAAGGAAAAGATTCTGACGATTGTTTTATTATAATTATTCTTATTATTTTAACGTCAGATAATGGATTTAAAATTGATATAAGAAATAAATTGAAAGGTTTAAATTATATGGGTATTATTTATCACATGTATTAGCGTGTTCAACTAAGAACTTGTAATTAATAAATAGTGTCACCAAAGTGGTCTATTTATTTGGAGTTACTGAAAGGTTCTTGATATTATATACATGTGAAATCATTTAACACATGAGTTGAGAATTATGATTAATGAGTAGTTTTCACCAAAGTGACCTATTTATTTGAGTCATTGAAATATTCTCAATGAACCATGTCTAAATTGTCCTTGAAAAGTGTACATTAGTGTTGGAGGTTATTTACCTTTTGATACTAGTGACACTAAATTAATTAATGAGAATAGATATTGTATTCTCCACCTAAAGGAGGATCATAATATCTTGAATTCTCATGTGTATAAAAGAGGATAGTTTTTTATAGAGAAGGTTTTGTGTCTCTTACCTAAAGGAAGGATACAATGTAGGCCTTGTACTCTTGGATGATATTGGACGGGGTTTTGTATCTCTTGCCTAAAGGTGAGGATACAATGAATGCCTTGGACTCCTTGGTCCCTAAAGGGGAGACGGTTGCATCTTCCACCTAAAGGAGGCGGTGCAATAGATGTCTTTGACTCTTTTGATTTATATATTCCTACCCATAATTTTTGTGTTGTTTGCTTATACAACTGTTAACAACATGACTACTCAGTTAAATTTCATTGAAACTCTGACTAGTAGCAACTACAAGAAGTGTAAACGGGATGTTGAAATAATGTTAAGTCTGATGGACCTGGACTTTACATTGACTGAACATAAACCTGCTTAACCTACAACTACTAGCACTGCTGATGAAAAGGCGAAGTATGAAAAATGGATGAAGGCTAACAAATTGAGCTTTATGATCATGAAGAGATCCAATTCTGATCATGTAAAAGGTGCAATTAAGGATAATGGAAATGCAAAAGATTTCTTGAGTGCCATTGGATAGAAATTCCTAGAATCTGATAAAGGTGAGATAGGTAGCCTGATTAATTCTCTGTCTACCATAAAGTATGACCTTGTAGGTAGTGTCCGTGATCATATTATGAAATTGGTTAACATTGCTACCAAGCTGAATAATTTAGGTATGACCATTACCAATGATTTTCTTGTTCATCAATCCCTAAGGTCCCTTCCTGAGTAGTTTAACCAGCTTAAGACAACCTATAATGCACAAAATAATAAATGGAGTGTTGATGAGCTTATTACTGTTTGTGTGGTACAGGAAGGGAGGATCCAAAAGGAAAAGGTTGAGAGCGTAGTGAAAACGTTGTTAGTTCGTCTAGATCAGCTGAATATCCCTCTTATAAAAGAATAGGTGGACCCAAATTTCATAAAACGAAACATGGTCAATCTCATCATCCAGGTGGTAATAATGGTCATACTAATAAGCATGGTATTAACCAAGGTCAGTCTCATAATCCTGTTAGTCCTCAAGCTGTAATTAAAAAATAAATCAAGTGTTGGGATTGCAAACAAGTAGGTCATAAGAAAGCTGGCTGTCATCTGAAAAAGAAACCAGATAATCTTTTGGCTTTTTTTTTTGCTTTGAAAATAGTCTTGTTCATATTCCTTTAAATTCGTGGTGGTTGGATAGTGGTGCAACAGTTCATGTAACCAATGACTTACAGGATCTAGTAAGTAGACGAAAGCCAAAAGAGGATGAAGCCAGTCTTGTTGTGGGCAATGGACTCTAAGCAAAAGTAGAGTCCTTAGGGACATCTATTTTATCTTTTAAAAATAGTTCTAGTATTCGTTTAGAAAATACTATTTTTGTATCGTCTATGAGACGAACATTAGTTTCAGTTTCACTTTTGGACAATGCTGGTTATTCATTTTTACAAAATAATTGTATTATTAAATTTCCTATGATTCACATGTTATTGCTGATGCCTTTTTAAGTGATGGTCTATATCGCTTGAATGTGTTGAATGAAATTTTTTCTGTAATGCATATTGAAAGTATTGCCCATAAAAGATCTGCTATGAGTGAAACGTCTTACCTGTTATGGCATAGGTGTCTTGGTCATATTTCTAAAGAAAGAATTGAATGATTGGTAAAGGAAAATATTTTACCTGTTCTTGATCCAAAAAATTTTGAAACTTGTGTGGACTGTGTTAAGGGTAAACCGACCAAGGTTAAGAGAAAGGGTTCCTCTAGGAGCTCTGAACTCTTAAAAATTATTCATACTGATATAAGTGGACCTTATGTACCTACTTTGACGAATCATAAGTATTTTATCACTTTTATTGATGACTTTTCAAGATATTATTATATATACCTTTTAAAAGAGAAGTCTGAAGTACCTGATAAGTTTAAAATTTACAAGACTAAAGTTAAAAAACAGCTTGAGAAATCCATTAAGATAGTGAGGTCTGACCGTGGTGAGTACTATGGAAAATATGATGAGTCTGGTCAATGTATGGGGCCTTTGCTTTGTTTTTGCAAGAATGTAGAATAATAGTATAATATACCATGCCAAGTACTCCTGAGCAGAATGGTGTGGCTGAGAGAGGAAATCGTACTCTCATGAAAATGGTGAGAAGTATGGTGTCAAATACTAGCCTACCCGAGTCTCTTTGGGGTGAAGCCTTAAAAACAACCACCTATATCCTGAATAGAGTTCCTACAAAATCTGTCTTGAAAACTCCTTTCAAATTGTGGACAACCCAAAAACCTAGCTTGAACCATTTTCATATTTGGGGATATCCAACTGAAGTTCATATTTATTCACCCACATAAAAAAACTGATCCTAAAACTACTAGTTATTTCTTTATAGGCTATCCTGATCACTCTAAAGGTTTTAGGTATCCTGGGCGTGGCACTAGAATCGTTGAGTCTATTAATGCAAAATTTATTGAGCATGATGTTTGTGATTGTGATTGTGATTGTGGGAAGGAAATTGTGTTGAAATAGTAGGAAGTCATTGTCCTTGTACTTGTTATACATAAAAAGATGGTAAACTAATATATTCATGTGGGGGACAATCGAGGGAATAATGACGCAGATCCCATGGTCCCTGAGCAAAATGAACATAATAAACCACTCTCCGTAGGTCACAAAGAGAAAGAAGATCTGCCAACTCTGATGATTTTATCATATATGTGAGTGAAAATCTTAGTGATACTGGAGAGTTGACTGATCCTTTATCATATGCCCAAGCTATTTCCTCTCCATATGTTGATAAATGGCGTGATGCAATTGAAGATGAAATGCGCTCCACGGAACACAATAGAGTGTGGGAGCTAGTTGAATTGCCTGTAGGTTTTAGGCCTATTGGTTGTAAATGGGTGTTTAAAACTAAAAGAGACTCCAAGGAAAATATATATTGTTATAAATCAAGGTTCTTTCTAAGGGTCACACTCAGAAAGAAGGTATTGATTATAAAGAAAAATTTTCTCCTGTTTTATCTAAGGATGCATTTAGATTCGTGATGGCTCATTTGTATTTAGAGTTGCACTAGATGGATGTTAAAACTGCTTTCCTGAATGGGAGTCTGCTTGAAGAAGTTTACATGGTTCAACCTGAAGGGTTTAAAAAAACTGGTAAAGAACATTTAGTGTGAAAGCTTAACAAATCTATATATGGGCTTAAACATGCCTCCAGGTAGTGTTACTTGAAATTTGATGAAATTATTACAAAATTTAAATTTGTGAAAAGTAAGCTTGATGAATGTGTTTATCTCAAAATGTCCATGGTAATTTTATTATTATGGTTATCTATGTTGATGACATTCTGCTTGCCACAAATGATTTGGCCTTGATGAATGAGACCAAACAATTTTTATTCAGGTCTTTTGATATGAAAGATCTAGGTGAAACCTCTTTTGTTCTTGGGATAGAAATTAAAAGAAATGGGTCACGTGGTTTGTTGGGTTTATCTCAATGTTCTTATATTGAGAGTGTTCTTAAAACTTTCAATATGCAAGACTGTAGACATGGTATTGCACCTGTTGTAAAAGGGGACAAACTTAGCAAGGATTAATGTCCGAAAAATGACGTTAAAAAGAGAACTATCAAAGATGTGCCATATGCAAGTGTTGTTGGCTACTTGATGTATATATAGGTTTGTACAAGGCCTGATATATCATTTGCTGTTAATATATTGGGAAGATTTTCTTCTAATCCTAGGTGGGCACATTGGGTGGCTGCAAAGAAAGTGATGAGATATCTACAACGCACAAAGAATGCTTGTGTACAAAAAAGTTGATGATCTGGACCTGTTGGTATATTCAGATTCTGATTTTGCAGATTGTCAAGGCACTATGAAATCAACTTCTAGTATATTCTTATGTTGGTTGGAGGTGTTGTTTCTTGAAAAAGTGAGAAACAAAGTATCACTGCTACATCCACAATGGAAGCTGAGTTTATTGCTTGTTTTGAGACTGCTTCACGTGCTGTATGGATGAAGAATTTTTTTACGAAATTGCAAATTGTGAATTTTATATCTAAGCCGGTGACTATTTTCTGTGACAACAGTGCAGTTGTATTCTTCTCTAAGAATAACAAGAGAACAAGAGTCTCTAAGCATGTTAGCTTTAAATTTCTTAAGGTTAGAGACATGGTAAGAGAATGTGATATATGTATTGAGCATATTAGCACAAAATATATGTTAGCTGATCCTTTGACTAAAGGGCTTATGCCTGTAATGTTTAATGAACATGCTAAAAACATGGGTATTTTAGAGTCTTTTGATGTGCTTTAGTCAGTGGGAGTTACTTTGTAATTACTGACTGAGATATTGCTTTTAATAAATTATATTTTTATGCAAGCTTGTGTTATTTTATATTTGTTATACTTATTGACTAACATAATAATTTATTTATTTTTCCCAATTGGATATTGCATAAACTCATGGTATCTTTGAGTTTTGCTACCTGTTGTCTTGATTATCCCGGGTAAGGCACAAGGGAAACCTCTTGAGGTGATATGATTTTTATGTCACTTGGAGGCTCCCGAGGTGATATGGTTATAATATCAAATCTAAGAGGTGTGGCTCTGTTCACCTTGATTAGAAAGATAACATGCCTAGCTCACATGTTTGTTCCATATTGATGGAAATTCTAGCACATGTGATCATAGAGAGAATTCCTACCTTAAAATGGTCTGATGCCTGCTACGATTCATTATTAGTGTTCTCCATTGAGACTGGATGGATTTTCATAGGGGTCATTCTATCCTTAGCTATGTGAGTAGTGTGGCCAATATAGAGTCTAAAATCTTTTTTGAAATATTTTTCTCAAAACTCAAAAGTTTTTGAAATTATTTTCTTGTCCTCAATTAACGTTGACGTCCAAGTGGGAGAATGTTGGAATTTGGACTTATGTTAATTGGTTATAGCCTGAAAGGATAGTGACGTGGTCCAAGTGGTAGATAAATAAAAGTCCTAATATTAAATACTATGTGTGTAGATAAGTGAGGCCTAATAACAATTGGCCTGTGATGGGTAGACACTCTTTATAAATAGAGGCCAACCCTCCTTTCCTTAGCTATTAGAAAACTCTGGTGTATTCTGCCTCTTGAATACGTGGTAAAAGGTAGACGTCCCATCGGTCAAGTTCTCCGGGCTGTGAGAGCGTGTAGCTAGTGGATCGTGGAAGTTGGTCTCAAGCTTAATTGTCGTTTGCTGTCACTGCTGAATCCATGGAGTTTAACAGTACGCTTCCTTAGACTAAATCTACGTGCTCAGGTAGTTATCAGGTTTGTTAACCCGATCATTATCTTCAACACTTCCCCTCAAGCTAGTGGGAGGCGAGTTCACTACACCTAGCTTGTCTCGAAAGAACTAGAACTGGTCCGTGCCAAGAGCTTTTGTATGAACATCTACTAATTGATCCTTGGACCTTACAAACTGAGTGATCAATTGTCCTTGAGCTACTTTCTCTCTAACAAAGTGATAATCTAGTTCTACATGCTTAGTTCTAGCATGCATTACAGGATTTGTAGTCATGTATAGAGCACTTAAGTTGTCACATAATAGTACAGGAGCAGTCTTGATATACACCACAATGTCTTGTAGAATGTAGCCTATCCAGGTAAATTCAGCTGCAGTTGCTGCCAGTGCTCTATACTCAACTTCAGCACTTGACCTTGTAACAGTGTTTTGCTTCCTCGATGACCAGGAGACACAATTTGCACCAAGGTATATACTATATCTAGTAGTAGACCTCCTTGTTATGGCACATCCTGCCCAGTCTGCATCTGAGAACCCATACAACTTGAAGGAAGAATGTGATTTGATTCTCAATCCATGATCAATGGTTCCTTTGACAAACCTCAATATTTTTTTTACTCCCTGAAGATGCATGTTGTTTGGATTCTGCATGAATTGACTTACAAGATTAACAACATGAGTAATGTCCGGACTAGTAAGTGTAAGGTACTGCAAGCTTCCCACAGTGCTTTTGTAAATTGATGGATCAACTGCTTTGCCAATTGCTTCTTCTAGACCATGCTTCTGAGCTAGTGGAGTATGCACTGTTCTTACATTTGCAATATGCACTTTTATAATAAGATCATTTGCATATTTGCTTTGATTCAAGTGAGTTCCTCTAGGAAAATAGCTTACTTCAATACCCAAGAAGAAACTCAAGGGTCCAAGATCCTTCATAGCAAATTCATGTCCCAGCTTTTGCACTACTTCCCCTTTCTGTCTTGAGTTGCTTCCTGTCATAATTATATCATCTACATATAATAGAAGTAAGATTGTTCCTTATGCATCATGGAGAGTAAATAAGGAAGAATCAACTTTACTACATTTGAAACCAAGATGAATTAAGCATAGGTTAAATCTATCAAACCAAGATTTGGGAGCTTGTTTGAGGCCATAGAGTGCCTTCTTTAAGAGACAAATATGATCGGGATACATTGAATCAGTGAAGCCTGGTGGTTGAGTCATATAAACTACTTCCTGTAGATGATCATGTAGGAAAGTATTCTTAACATCTAGTTGCCTAATGAGCCAATGTAAAGTGACATTAACACAGAGAATAACTCTTATAGTTGTAGTTTTAACTACTGGACTGAAGGTTTCTTCAAAATCAATCCCTTTAAGTTGTGAGTACCCTTTAGCGACTAGCCTTTCTTTGTGTCTTTCTATTGACACATATGGATTCATTTTTGTTTTAAATACCCATTCATATCCTATTACATTCATTGTTGGAGTTCTGGGAAGGCTGCTAATTCTTCTTGCATTGCTTTAAGCCAGTGGGGGGAACTAAGAGATTCTTTTATAGACTTAGGTTATTCTATTTTTGTTTGTACATCAGCTTGTGAGGTATGAGTTATAGGAAGAGAATTAGCTTTGAATCTGGTGACCATTTTATGTTCTTGAGTGGTTTCAGGTTCAACCTGAACCATGTTTTTTAATGGAGTTTCTGTTGGAGGTGCTTCATCCTAGGCATTGAAGAAGTGTGACAAGTCCACTTCTAACTGCAATCCTTTTGGATATGTCACTGTGAACTACATAGATGTTTCATCCGAGTGAGAGGCCTCTGAGTGCAATTCATCAGTGTCTGAGTTTTGCATGACTACGGAAGGCTCAACAACACTGTTTGTGACCTCCACAGCCTCATCATGATCAGACTCAATAGTATTGTTGTGATCAGCAGTTGGAACAGTTGTTTGAGAAGCAACACCATCATTTTGATCAGCAACATCAGTATTTTGTTCACCAGCTTGATCATTTGAAACATCATCAATAACAGCATCAAGATCAGCTCCTAAAACTTCCCCTACAGTAGTAGGATCTGATGAACCAGACTTTGCATGTGATTTTGAGAAAAAATCAAAAAATGTAGCCTTATGACTAGAGTCATTTGTAAAAGTACAAGAGTGGGGGTGAATTGTCGATTTTTTCTTTTTGTATTCTAAGTTATTGACTACTTTACCAATTAGTCAACTGAATATAAGAATAAAATATAAGTAAAGCAGAAATAAAGTACAAGAATAAAAGACACCAGGATTTTTATACTGGTTCGGATTCAATATGAATCCTACGTCCACTTCCCTTGAGTTGCAAGGGTGTTCTCTTTCAGTATTTGAAGTTTCTCGTGTACAATAGAGTTGATGTAGCTTTACACCAACAATTTAGTCACTATGTCACTTCTCTCTTCTTGATACAATGCCTCATCAATGTCTATATCTTTTTATTCTCTCACTAATTATACATCAGATCTAAAGAGAATTACAATGCTTATTTGGAGTAGAATAAAAAGAGTGATAGTGGTTCATTCAAAGTATATCAACTTTAAGACTGGTACAAATGTATATATACTTCGTGAGGTCTTCTTGACACTTGATTGATGTGAATCTTGAGAGATTACAGACCTAAGGGAGATGATCCTTGACAGGAATCGTAGAGTGATTCTTTCTATGAATAAGGTGGAGCTTCCGTTGATTTGCCTTGACTTGTGGCCTTGATAGACTTTTCTTCCGCTAAGCAAATCTTTCTGTTATTTGAGTAATCAAAGTCGGATCCCTTGATTCCGGGATTTACTGGTCTTCCTTTGATGGAGGAGTCTCAGTGCATAGATTCGCAATATTGTTTTCCTTTAATTTGGGACCTTCCTAGAATATCCTCTATCAATCTGCTATCAAATCTGTCACGACCCAAAATCTAACTAGTCGTGATGGTACCTAACCCAACCCGCTAGGTAAGTCAAGTTTCACTTATCCAATTCTAATAACAATTATTAAAGCAATTTAAGTAAATAAAGATCTTAATCTTATACATTTTCCAAGAACTGGTAGTACAAATTATGAGCTTCTAAGAATAGAGTATACAACGCTGGTATGAAGTAAATATATCATCTGTTTGAAAAGTACATAAACAGAGTTTTATGAATCTAAGGCTGCCATGAACAAGAGGCAGCTACAACCGGAACGTAGGTACATCTTTAGATCCAGCTCCCACGAACACAACAACATCAACAACCAATATCTGCACGCAAGGTGCAGAAGTATAGTATGAGTACAACCGACCCCATGTACTTAATGAGTAGCAAACTTAACCTTAGGTTAAAAGTAGTGACGAGCTTGTACCAAGGTCGGGTCCACCACCAATTACCAACAACATTTCATAACAACGTAAAGCAAATAATACAAGAAGTAACTCAGAGGTAAAATCCAAATCGTTTACCGAAGTTGCCAAAAATATGAATAAGTTTGAAAATAATAATTTTCTCAAAAATCCTTTCAATAATAATAAATAAGATATTTCATTTTCTTTTCAGATAACCAGTGTAAAACAAATGCATCACTATGCCCATCTGTCAATATGTGTGAGAAATCATGGATGATGTAATATCGTACATCATGAGGAAAAATACATCTCGATGCATGTATGTCATGTGTGCATGTCAATGCAATATATCTCAGAGATGAACTCATGTACTCTCACTCTCAGAGTACTCAATCTCACTTTCTCACACATTCCACTCATCATGCTCAATCACTCGGTACTGTATATGGCCAATCCGGCTAGGGAAGATCCATCCTGGAATATACACATTAACTGATCATCAGTCACTCAGTACCGAGTAGGGCTAATCCATCCCGTGGAGAAGATCCATCTCCAGGTATATAATGCTTCGGACAAGATCCATGTCCAGGGAAGATCCATCCCTCAATAATAACAACCGCGCTCACTGGAGGTGTGCAGACTCCGGAGGGGCTCCTAAAGCCCAAGAGCTATAATCCGCACGGACAACTCACGTGCTGCACGGACAACTCACGTGCTGTACGGACAACTCACGTGCTATAGTAACTATATCCTCACAAACAGGCCCCCGACCTCACTCAGTCATAAATCTATCCAGTCTCACTCACAGGCTCACAACGTCATGAAACTAGCCCGACAACAATGATATGATGTATCAATAAATAACAACTGAGACTGAGATATGTTATGAATGCATGAATATGACTGAGTAAAATATCAATGAAATCATTGAAATGACAGCAAGAAACAATCACTATGGGTCCTAGCAGTATCATCATAAAGCCTAAACATGATATCTAGCATGATTGACAACTCAATTACTTTATCACATAGTGAAAACACGGACATCAACAAAGTAGGACCACTATACAGTGCCATGGAAACAACATAGTCCCGATTCACATGGTGCACGCCCACACGCCCGTCACCTAGCATGTGCGTCACCTCAATAACAAATACATAACACGTATAATCAGGGTTCATACCCTCAACTCCAAGATTAGAAGAATTACTTACCTCGAACAAGACGAATCCAATATCGAGCAAGCTAAACAATGCTCCAAAAATCCCATTCTGCGCGTATCAACTCCTGAAAGGCTCGAGTCTAGCTATAATAAATTTGATTCAGTCCACACAATTTATAGGAATTAATTCCATATCAAAATACTAATATTTTTCCCACAAAATCCGAAATTACACTCCAAAAATCGCTCGTGGGGCCCACATCTAGGAATCCGACGAAACTCACAAAATCCGACAACTCATCCAATTACAAGTTCAACAATACTAATTTCACTCAATTCCAACTCCAAATCTATGTTCAAAACTCAAAAATTCATATTATGAAATTTAGGCCAATACCCCCAATTTCCTCTTTATATTCATCAACCAATTGCTAAAATGAAGATAGAGTCATGGAATATAATCACAAGGGAGTTAAGAACACTTACCCCAAGTTGTGTGAAAATATTCCTCTCCAAAATCGCCCAAACCGAGCTCCAAACTCCGAAAATGGTGAAAAATAGCGAAGCCCCGAACTTTGGATTGCATATGCGCCTATCGCAGGTGCGAAAAATCCATCGCACCTGCGACTCAACCTCGCTTCTGCGCCCTTCAGCCTGCTTTTGCGACCATCGCGGGTGAGGGAATGTCTTCGCACCTGCCCAACCCTTCCTTGGTCGCTTTTGCGATTCATTCTGCGCTTGTGCGTGCTCGCACTTGCGGTGCCCACTCCGCAAGTGCGGTTATACCAGTAGCAGCAGCACTTCAGCTGCTTCATCAACTCAAAATCAAGTCCGTTAACCATCCGAAATCAACCCGAGGCCCCTGGGACCTCAACCAAACATACCAACAAATTTTATAACATCATAGGAACTTAGTCAAATCTTCAAATCACCTCCAACAACATCGAAAACATTAATTACACACGGATTCAAGCCTAAGAAATTTTGAAATTCCCAAATTCTACAAACGACGTCAAAACATGTCAAATCACGTCCGATTGACTTCAAGTGTTTCACACAAGTCATATTTTATATTACGGGCCTATTCAAATTTCTAGAATCGAATTCCGACCCCGATATCAAAAAGTCAACTCCCCGGTCAAACTTCCCAAAAATTTAACTTTCGCCATTTCAAGCCTAATACGGACCTCCAAAAAAAATTTCGGACACGTTCCTAAGTCCAAAATCACCATACAGAACTATTGGAATAATCAGAATTCAAATCTGAGGTCGTCTATACATAAGTCTACATCCGATCTATTTTTTTAACTTAAGCTTTCCATTATGAGACTAAGTGTCTATATTCATTCTGAAATCCTTTTGGACCCGAACTAACTAATCTGATAGGTCATAATATAGCTATAAAGTACAAATAGAGCAGTAAATGGGGGAACGGGGCTGTAATACTCAAAATGACCGGCCGGGTCGTTACAAAATCCCTGATTGATT